TATATATATATATATAGAATGGAGGTGGCGGCTGGCTTCTTCCTGCTCCCTCCCTCTAAGATAAATGGTAGGGATATATATGCAATTATTGATTTCATTTGAAGACCCATAAGACAAATGATCCTCCCATAGTATACATTCTAGATTGTATAGCTTTACCACCATTTGCTAGGGATTTGTACCACATGCTTTCATGATAGATGTATTATTATCTTTTTATTCTTTATTTTCTCTGACATTGTTTGCTACGTGCCTTGTTCTCAATTTATTTTATTTTGGTTATAATATTTTGGTTAAAAAGGATTATAACTATAAATATGCATGTGTTTGTGTATGTTTATGCCTGACTTAAAAACTTATTGAACAATGAATTTGAAAATTCTGGTTTTATATTTTTTATTGCTTTTGATCAAGCTTGTTCTAAGCTAAAAAATCTAACTTAATGTTCGTTTGATTTTTATTGTTCAAAATGAATTAACAGCTATGAAGAAAATTGCTGTAGTGTATGTAAATGTTATTAAATTATTTGTTTCAAGGTGACATCCTGTCTTTAAAAAATTTATTGGATTCTGCAGATTTCATGTTGATGAAGGTGAAAAGTTTTCGAAGAATGGCGGCCAACCCATTCTCTTACTTGAGTCAAAGGGACATGCTGTCCATGTTTTTGTAAATGAGAAACTTATAGGTTCTGGCTGATCATTTTTATATATTCATGGTTACTGTAAAATTGAAAAGCCTTTCAAATCATCATCATCATTAGATGCTTCCGAACTTTATAGGACCAACTTTTTGAATTATTTTTATTAATTCCTACCAAGTATTGTACGAGGCATTAAAACTATGTCAGCGAGTACTTACTAATGGTGATTAAGTGTATATCAGATGGGCTTTGACCATTCAGCTTTTCAATAACAATCATCTCCCATTTCTTTTTTAATTTGGAATGTTTTAAAACGAAGAAAACCAACAAATGGACTCAATGTGGACAAACTGGAAACCAGTTCCAAGCCATTAATTAGGAGATTCTTTACTGGCAATACCTCTAGGATGGCCATGAAGAGCTAATATGTTGTATTTTTTGGCATTCAATTATATAAACTTTATCTGGTGTACTTTCTGTCCCTCTTAATTTTTTCTCCGTCTGTGATTTTTTATCCATTTTGTATTATTATGTCATTCTAGCATATTTAAGGAGATTCTAGGTGTGCCGATAAGAAAAGAACTGTTGATTTATGGAACTTGGCCAAAATTTTGCGAAGTAAACAATGTAGAGAATTTATTTTCATATTCAGTTATGAAATTTCTGGGCAAAAATACTGGGAACTAACATTGAATTCCCTAGAAAATTAGTATTGACATAAGCATACATGTTTTGGTAATGCAAAACCATGGTCCCGTTCATTATGATCGATTAGTATTTTCCTTTCCTTTAATTTTTGCTATACCAACGACCTCAGCTCAATGACTTTGCCTCTGATTTTCAAACGAGCGGTCAGACTTAGATTAACCGCATAAAGCTTTTATCAAAGAAAAAATTATCAAACAAAGTACTCCTAGGGATAGAAACCCTTATTAACTTCTTGATTTTCAGTTCTCTATACTGCTTGTAATGCAGATAGCTGGATAACAATTCTTGTTGTTGGAGTTGGAAATAAAATGGAATGCTTGCATTATGATATTTCTTTCCTTTTTTTGCACCTTTGTCTGTCTAATTTAGTGTTTTTTTTTGTGCCTAATTGGATACCTTGCATCAGCTTTAGTTGGTTGCAGATCATGTGTCTAATGGAAGTGAAAGAGCCACTTTAGACATTGATTTTCCCTATATGTCGTCTAAAAAAGTTTTGGACGAAGGACACACCTAATCAAGATGCCAATTTTCTTCGTCATGCATAATTATGTTTTATTGTTAACGAATGTAAGAGCATTGGTTTAGTCCCATATTGGATAATAGAAAATTATGTTGGTGTTGAATGCAAAGTCATTGGTCATTACCTCTTAAGCTTATGCTTTGGATTGACAATGGGTCTGAACTCTAGTATATTTAGTTTTATTTTTGTCTCTTTTAATTCGCAATCCCTAGCAAATGGTGGGAAAGCTAATGATTTTGTTAGGATAAAGTGGTATATATGTCTTGTGTCAACCGCGGGACTTGGCCACATTCCTTCATGGCTTAACAAGGTTTAACAGTGATTGACTCCAATGATGGATACTCATCATTAAGTAGGCTCTTGGTGAATGATTCTTGATGAGCTTTCATTTAAGGGAGAGTGATGGCTGATGTGGAAATTAGCTATACAATTTAGAATAGGAAAGAAGTTAGATGAACAAGAAAGAGAAAACTTTGTAGAAGAATGTCTACATTATTTCGAATAAAATGTCAAATAATTCGTCTTAATATAATATTTTAATGCTATGCTCTCATATTTATTCTTAATGTTTATTGTATTGATTTATGTATATTTGTGGATCCTTACTCGCTAAAATGGTAACAAAGTAATTGTAATGGAAAAGTGGAAGACTAAGTAATCATTGTTGTTTGACTCATTAAAGGCAGTGATAGATGGGAATTTCTTGGACGTTTCCTAAATTTTGATGAACTTAACATATTAGTGAATGACTCCAATGATGGATACTCATCATTAAGTAGGCTCTTGGTAATGATTCTTGATGAGCTTTCGTAATGGAAAGTGATGACTGATATGGAAATTAGCTATACAATTTAGAATAGGAAAGAAGTTTGATGGATAAGAAACACAAGACTTTGTAGAAAATGCCTACATTATTTCAAATAAAATATCAAATAATTCCTATTAATATAATATTTTGATGCATATATTCTCATATTTATTCTTAATATTTATTAAATTTATTTATGTATATTTGTGGATCCTTAATCCTAGTTAAAATGGTAAAAGAGTAATTATGGGAAGTGGAAGAGGAAAGAAGACAAAATCATTGTTACCTGACTCATGAAGGATAGTGATAAATGGAGATTTCTTGGACGCTTTCTGGAATTTGATGAACTTAACATATTCGTATGCAGAGATCCAGAGTCTTGACTTAGAGGCCTCATTAGTAGTGACCATATGAGCTGACTTTGATTTAAAATCTTTCTGGTTCTTTTTGAGCAACTTCTGACACATTCTATAAGTTTCGCGAGATTTAAAACCTTTCTGGATTATATCTGTAATAACACAATATCTTCAACACGAGATTTTTAGAATTCGGAGTTTCATTTCTGTAATTGTCCTAAGACTGAGGTTTATTGATGTCTTGTCTCCACTATAGGCTTCCCTTAGAGTAGTATATCCAGGGTCAGATAAGACTTGGGATTTGATACTTTTATATTTAGATTCGAGGTCAGCTAGAAAACTCATAATTGTCATTTGTATTTTTTGAGTCTGATGAATCCGAACCTTTAGCATTGAATTACATTGATTATTACTGATGAACACGAACTTTATGTGACATGTTTGGTTTTATCAATGGTTAAGATTACGGATGATAAGTTAAAATGACATTAATTTTTTCTTATTAGAATAAAATTGTGACTCTATTTAAGGAGTAATTCTATAGGGAGCCGCGTCATTGATAATCTCCCGATTGATATCGAGTCTAATTATGATGATTTGATGAGAGTGGATGCCCAACTATTGATACAAATACAAAACTCTATTGAACCTAATCAATCTGGTCATAATTTTTTTCCTTTTCCACAGAATAGGTCATTGATTTTGGTGTCACAAATCACATGATAGGTAATCCAAACCTTTTTTCTGCCTTTCATACGCACCTATCCACCTCTAATGTTCTTTGTTCCGATACCATGAATGTTACATCCATATTGCCTTTAACTTCTATTCTAAGTTTACCTCATGTTACTTTTAATCTTGTTTCTGTTAACAAAATTATACTAACTCTTAATTGATGTATCTTATTCTTTCTCGACTATTGTCTATTTCAGGATCTTACGAAGAATAAGGTTATTAATAAAGTATGAGACTTAAGGGGCTAAACATTTTTGACAATGACGTTTCTCAACTCATAGCCTGTTCCAACCCAACACCTTATCTATTTTTTTGAGATTCATTGTCGATTAGGACGTCCATCACTATCAATGCTAAAAAAGTTGTACCACTATTTTCAGTAGCTATCATCTTTAGATTATGAGTCATGTCAATTTGATACACCATCATCTTTATTTTTTTCTCAGTGTTAATAAAAGAGTAAGTCATAGTTTTGAGTTGGTTCATTTTTTATTTGTTGGAACTTCTTATTTTATCTTATTTGATTTCAATATTTTGTCACATTTATGGATAATCTTTGTCGTATGACTTTTTTACTTTATGAAATCTCATTTGAGTTACTGTCACGTTTTCATTTTTTTGGTTGAAATTAAAACTCAATTCAATATTTCTGTCAAGATTTTGAGAAGGTGTCAACAATATCATTTTGCACCCTTTCATAAGTACATGATATAAAATGGGATGCTTCACCAATCATCCTATATTGATACTTACCCCAAAATAAAAAGTTAGAAGAAAGAATAAACATCTTGAGTTGGCTAAAGTTTTTTTGTTTCAAACAATTGCGAATAAACAGTTCTTAACTGATGTAGTTTCTACTTTATGTTTTATGGTCAATTGGATATCTTCTACTATTCTAAAGAACCAGACACCCCATCAACAACTCTATTTTCTATTGAATCACACATATTAGGTGTACTTGTTTTGTTCTTGATACTCGTCCGCAAGTTTCTAAACTGGATCTTAAGTCATTAAGACATGTCTTTCTAGGATATTCTCGTCTGCAGAAAGGATATCGATGTTTTCCTCACTTGAACGGGTACATGATTTCCGTTGATGTCACTTTTAATGAACAAATTTTATTTTGACTCATCGATGTCTAAATACTCACAAGATTCTGATGAGTTGTTAATTTATCACATCATAAGTTCAGCTCCTACTCCAGCTCCATGTCACGCTCCGCGACATTCGAGAAATCATCGAGACGAACAGAGGATGGAAGATTCTAGAGAAGGTCCGAATATGAGGAGTCATCAAAGGGGCTCTAGAAGATTCCACCATGTTCCGGGGAGAGCAAGAAGGAAAAGCTCTAAAGAGGATCTAAGAATAACCTAGAATGTTCTAGAGTTTATGTACATTAGAATAGTCTAAGAGATAGAATATTATATTGTAATCTAGAAGCTTCTCTTGGACATTGTATAGTCCCACATTGGCTAGATGAAAGGCCAAAGGCATGGAGGAGGCTATAAATAGGAGCTCCTCCCCTCATTTGTATTTACCCAAGCATTGAATCAAAGCATCCTAGTATTCAAGTGCTAATTAGTCCTTTCTCTCTATTCTTCTTCTTAAGAGTGCTTGGGGCTGCTAAGTCCAGTGTTGTGAGTGATTAGGCTGATTTAGTGCTAAGAGAGAGCGCTAAAGCTCCAGCTCCAGCTCCAGCTCCAGCTCCAGTGCCTCAACCTAGATCACCTATCACTAATATTTACTCGAGAAGATCTCATTCCCTTGATCCAAGTCTGACACTAGTATTATCTTCCTAGTTGATCCTCCTCCCAATTACCTTGATTTACCTATTACACTTTGAAAGCTTAAATGCTAATACACCTCACTTTTCCTCTTACGTTAGCTATAACCAGCTATCTTCCAATTACTCATTTGT